ACAGCATATGTAGATATGTAAGTACCTGTCTCTTTGAGTTTTGCTTTAATTTACGATTCATCCATCGCTGCTATATTCCGCGCAATTTGCGCGGGGTCTACTAGTAATAATTATTACTGTACTTAAATGCTGACGTGCTAAAGGGAAGATGCACTGCATCATCCGTATATCATTCCGACAGTACTAAATGACCATTTAAACTCAGTAGCGTAGCTTAAGTGGAAAGTAAGAATACATATGAACTGTTTTATGCCAAATTCACAAAATACCAGTAAATCCATTTACCAGTACTGTAATCTCACTACGTGCACGAATAAACGCTGAGGATGTTGTCGTCCAGATAATGTGACTTTCGGTGGGTCACACTCACACTTATGTTTTCGATACTAGTACACGGGAGCTCCCATAACGTAAGGTCGCCACACATTTCTAGTCAAGACTAATTTTCTACAGAAGCGGTAGGAAATGATTTCCGTTTTAACATGGACAAGCAAAAATTTTGTTAAATTTGCTAGTGCGTATGTAAATGCTGCGAGTACTGTACTTATCGAATTTCTATGTTAAAGACGGCATTTTACGTTTTGGAAAAAGAAAAGCATGGTGGTTATGTACCCCGCCTGATTTAACCGTACGTTTTGTCAAAACGTCATACTCCAACCGGGTGACGACAGCAGTACAGCGAGTGCTTGCCTAATGCCTAAGCAACTATCTGCCCTTTTATAACCACGACGACACCAAGGTAAAGTCGGACAAGTGGCGACGTCGAAGTACTGTGGCTTGTGCTCAAGTCTTGAACTTTAAGCATTGCGTTAATACGAGTACGCTTGCTACGTTTTCACAGTCAACTGTCACGCGTACGTTTCCACTGTTAACGGAGTTGGCGCCCTATCATTTTGTCCACCGTTCATTTGGTCACCATTCGGCCACCATAATTTGGGTACCGAGTTCGATTTTTAGCTACAGTGACACACGCATTCACTGCTCTTTTTAAAACAAAAAATAAACATAAAGCAGAAATTAGAACCTAAGAAACCTAAGACGTAAGCACCTAGGAATAAAACATAGGAAACAAACATTTCTTGACTCACAGCCTCACTTTGTGATTACATATAAACCTAACAAAAAAACTAGGAAAACCTAAGGAAAAAGAATCAAAAAAATTGAACGCGGTAATCACTGGTGGGCGAAATGAATGGCGGCCAAAATGAATGGACACGTCGGAAGTTTACTGCAGAGCTACTACGCAAGTTGACGGTTTCAATACAATACACACATCGTCATGACAACCGTGCGCAATGCCCTACCAGTTGAGGCAATAAACGATGCAATTCTTCCAATCGCATCTGATGTAGTATGATTATCCACGGTTCCTATCAGGAACTTCCTACTAGTGAGGTGTGTACTGAGTAATTAGTCTGCGGTGTGTGTTGCGTAATGAGTACTGTATGCCATTTACTTGTCTATATACGGTATTTAATTCCAAATTACTTATAAAAATAAAGCCTACCAAGGCACTTTTCATCCTCCAGTTCAGACAAGTTTCATTTATTTCAAAATTGATAGCTTACCGTGATATGCTTTATATTTCATCTGCAAAGGTCGAAAGGGCGTGCCCAGTGCCCAAACCAAAACGAATGCAGCCAAATTTTGGACAAAATGAGTACTATACCGTATACAGCGTTAACGCGCGTAGCTGCGCACAAAATCGCCGCTTGTTTTATGGTTTGTTTCTCGTGCAACACTTATCGCACTGTAAACTATTTAGCCTTCGCTAGACAGATTTACTACTAAAAAATCCGTGATTGTTAACTGTGGTGTCAAATGAAATTATGCAAAAATTATTGAAACGGCAATTAGGTACACAAAACCTGTTTAGCAGTCCGAATAGCAATTTTCAGTTGAGAAAATATGGAAAATTCGAATCTAGGTTTCTGGGAATTTCAACTTCTCCAATTTATCAAAACAGTTTACAAAAAAAAACTTAATAAAGCAAGACAGCCATCATGTTCAGGCAGCTCAGCCAACAAGTCCAATATACATCTGTAAATACAGCAAAGATTAGAAATGTACGGGTAACGCTTAAACTCTACTACGACGCGCGCCACGCCACACTGTTTTTTTACACGCAACATGCATTTTGGCTGGTGGTTTGCGTGTCCGCCAGATATTTGAATGAGAATATTGTACGTAATTGCCTGGCGTAATGTGGGTAGAAACGGTCGGTGCAGTAAGAGACAATCCATAACTGCAAGGCACAATTACGCAATGCGATGAAAGTAGTGGCGATCATGCAAGCGCCAACTTAGCGCTAATATCGCTACCATTACATGCTCAATTGACAATTTGCCGACAGGCTTGTATATTTACGCGTTACCACAATGCAGTTACCGGGTGGCTGAACAAAATGGCCATCTGTCTTACTGAGGTGCCATGGGTCAGTGCTTCTTCATTGAAAGAATCTTAGTTTTATTTGAAAGAGCCATGTCCAAAGTGTATAAGAGATATGTCAAAGTGACAGTCAAACCATTAGTTCAAGAAGAATCTGTTTTTTTTTAATCCTTTATAAAAAGGGGTAGAGTTGAATGATGTCCTGGAAACAAACTTCAAATTCCCTCCTGTTTAAATACCAGAATTTCAGGTACTCAACTAAATACGTTAAAGCTTTACCACGTTACCGTTTCGAAAGAAGGATTGTTTCTGGTTTTCACTGTAAAAAAACAGCGACATTCATGTGACCCTGTCTGACCAGGGAGCAAATGGTTTGAGACTCCACATTTGATCCTCATGAAACGCGGTAGCAGGTTTTTCGAAAAATATTTTCAATTTTCAAATTATCATAATTTATTTTCAATTTTCAAAGTTTCAGTTTTCAAATCATCGCTTCGAAATCAGTCCTGGTTTAAACCTGTGTTTGAAAGGGTAACTACGCACTTACAACTGCCAGTTGAACGATTTTTGTTGCACCCGTCATGATGTAAAAAACTGTAACTAAAATACTCAAATACTCAAAACTAAAATACTCAAAACAACAAAGTAAAAAACGCAGTTTTGTCGAAAAGTCAAAAGGTTGTTTAGTGCATAGTTTATCCAGGGCATGCACCATGTCAACAATATTTTGAAGTCCTTCACTAGATAGAACAATTAAAAAATTATAGATCTACCGACGAAAACAAACTGAGACACAATTTTTAACTTTATGAGCTGGGACACTAAAAATTTCGATACGATATTATTTGGCACCATTGTTAACGTGGAACTCTTGATTTTTTCGAAAACATTTTATTGGTTTTTGTAGCTGATAAAATTGTCTATCGAACAAGCCTAAGTAATTTGCAGTGCATCAATTAGTTTGCGAGGGTCAAGCAAAAGCGGACAGAGCCATTTTGTTCGGCCACCCGGTATTATTGTATTATATGCCATAACAATATGTGTGCGGGCACGGGCACTGCAGGTTCCGCGCCCCTTCTCCGATGTTGAGCCCGAATCGAGTAACTTACAATGGCAGCACAGCCGAAAATGATGATTTCATTATAAAACTTGCTAATTCATAACCTGCGTGTACTTTTGTTAGGAGTAACTTAGGATGTTTATGTAAAATCCTGCACCCAATTTTTGAATAAATTACGTGCATCTCAAGGGTGTGTATTATATTATTCGTACAAATTAAAATTGCTCTGTATTAAACTGCGTTAATATAGAACGTGAAACGTGAACGTGAAACACCTGCGCATAGATGAATGCGCATCATTATTATTTTAGAATAAGTAACTGTAATAATTCCAGTTGAAATACTGTTTTTTAATTAATTAATTTTTGAAAATTTAGAAAATAAAGAAAGTTTGTTTGAAGAAACCCCGTCCCTCAAGGCCATTCACATTCCAGGAAAGGTAAAAAAACATTTTATACAATAAATTACTTAACTAGATTTTCACAATGTTTCATATTACTGTTGAAATTCCATTTCCAAGCAACAATACCAATTTATTTAAAGTATTGCAATTCAGTGAAAACCGTTGCCCTGAGACACTTCGAGAGAATATTTAGCAAAAAAAGAACTCGTGCTTGAATTACTGGAGCAAACCAGAAAAATTGGTAACCCTGTGCTAAAGGGGATAGCCGAAACGCAGGAAACTAAAATCATAACGTGCAGAGAACTGCACGAATACGTGCACGTATCTGTACTGTACACTCTCCGAGAGTGTACAGTTAGTTAGGAAAATTTTAACGAAAATAGCATCTCTATGGAAATGCGCACCTGAGCATATTGAGAAACGCATCTGGCAGCATATCTGGAACATCAATAGGTGCGTCGCATTTCTCTCGTAGACTCCCGTAGAACATCCGATCAAACACGTCACTGCTGATACCCGACAACAACCTGCAAGGAAGCAAAACACTGAAAGCAGTCAACGTTGAAGTCTTTTTGCAGAATTACAGTGCACATTGCAAACACCACAGGCGATCGTACTTGTGTGCCTGTAGCGTCCTCGCCTCCCCATACTGACGGCCAACAGAAAACTCCACGTCGTAGTGACTCCCGCTGATCAGAGCGCGCGCCAAACGTCTGGCGATGCCTGTAGCTGCAACAGGTTCCTCCTGGCTCGCTGCCATCGTCGAAATCTCCGTTTTGGGAAGAAATAGTCCACAGACTATAATGAGTCAGTGACAAAGGTGTAGTCTCCAAACAACCGATCACCGATGTTGACTAAGTACAGGAATTCTCAGAGAAAAATTCTTTACGGTACTGCAAAGCAATCTCAAAAGTCAATAAAGGAAATAATCAGAACTAAGTCTCAAATTTCCAAAAATAACTGAGAAAGTCGACTGATACAGCGCATGTACTATATAGTAAGTATCTGTACTTCTAGTGTCGCACGAATACCGTTTGCCGCTGCCGTCCCTGTGCGCTTACTTTAACATCGTTTAACTAGCATCTGGCTCTCCACTCTCCAGTCATCGCGCATTCATTCGAGTGAGACCGTAAGCTGCGCTTTCGATTCTGACGGTAAAATTTTTATTCCATCCCGTGTTGTTCGTAAGAGGTTATCTCTGCTTCGTTCGTTAGTAAAATTTCAGTGACGTGACGACTTTAGTTTTCGGCGAAATGTCTGACAATTTAACGAGTGCTAGCGGCTCGAGTTTGCCATGCTTTTTCCATGATTTACCCGAGGAATCCATCGTGCACATCTTCTCGTTCCTGGATGTCATTGATTTGACCAACTGCACCGTGTAAGTCGTTCCGTTTTGGCGTCAGTGCCGCAGCAACCGTGGCTGCTATACTGGACGACTTATCAGACGATTTTTGTTGACAGGGTGTGCAAGCGATGGGCCGACATCACCGGGGACGAGCGTCTGCAGAAGACCGTCATTTTCGATCTGGTTAAATGGGAAAACCACTATCCGCTGTCGTTGCTGCCACACCCGGCTCGTTCCGATACCGACGCACGCCAGGAAGCGGACCAGGTGGCGAAGGAATGGCGCCGACAGCTGCTGCAGCGTTTCTGGACGACCAAGACCCGCCGCGTCGTTTTCCGTCGACTCCCGGGAGCGGGTGCGCCAACCGAATGCTGGATCAAAATCGCCCTTGAGGTGGAGGGAGAAGGGGCAGTGAATGCGGCCAGCTGGCGTTGAGAATTCATAAATCTAAAATTAGCCGTGCTTAGTTTTATGCAATGGTGCGCATTCTTAATGAATGCGACGTAATTAACAATTAACGATAAGCAACTTATTTATGCAGTTGCTACCATAACAATAAGGTTTACTACCCTAATTTGCCACAACCACAATTTGCCTTACTGCAGCAAAAGAACCGGTGGTAAAACGTAAATTCCGCATAGGCGGTTGCTGGTTCAATAGTTTGCACATGCTATCGGGCATTTTATCAGGCTAGTAGTGCGTAAGTTGTTATATCAAGGTACAAATATCCAATTATATTTAAAAAAGCCGAACCGCTGGTACCACGTACAACGCTGCTGGTCCGCTCTATATTTTACAAAATAGCAAGTTCCAAAATTAACAGGAACAAACATGAAACATCATCGTAGATCTGAGACAGTTGCCAAAATCAGCGGCAAGCTCAACAAAGTTTCACTGTACAAATTTAAAACATTACGTGAAAGTAGAATTACAAAGTACCAGGTATCTGTAAATAAATACGTTGTCACCCGTCAAACAAGCGGATACACGATAACATTATTGTCGTGACAAACGCTGCTGTGAGCAATTCCTGTAACCTGGACTGTAAACTTAACATGGAATTCTTGATATGCTGTCCAGCCGGGCCGTATTCAAAGGAACAGCTCGCTACGTTTAATGCCAACGATAGCTCATCGGCGACGAGGATTTAAAAGTGCACCGGGTCGCGGTCTGGCATGTCGCACCGGATAGTCTGACAAAAGATGAACACGCGGCGTAGCCGGGAACGGAATGTGCGGTTTATCGGCGCCGTGCTTATACAAATACTCATAGATGGCGCAGAATTCTTCCTTTAACAGCAATCCGCTCTGCAAGGTCCATAAAAGCAATGCCGTATTTTGATAGAATAGGCCATGCCGAATCTGAGTAACCTTTAGCGGTCCATTGGCGATTTCCCCATCCGTCAGCAGTGGAAAGCGCACCAGGTACAGCGCCGCCCCCAAAACCTGGCGTCGGTTCTCTGCGGAACTGTCGATCCCGGCCTCGGCGCATGCGTTGGACGCCCATCTACAAGATGAATGAAATGCAAGAACTTGAAAAATGTTTTAATGATGCTGATTGTGTTTTACCTGTCGACCGCTTTGTACACCGTGTTCTCATCCACAGCCAGTGTATTGCGTTGCAGAATCTTCTCCAGGATCTCGTGTTGGACAGCTAGGAACTGTGGGGTGTCCAACACTGCTTTGCAGTTGGCATCGATAAATTCCAGGCAACCCTTGATCACGCTGTCGGCACTGAAGCGCAGTGCCTATAAAATATGAAAATAATGATCGCTAAAAATCTTTGGAAGTGTTCGGCAATGCTCACAATTGCTCAGTGATGCTTTTTTAGGTACGAACCTTTTCCAGACTGATCAAGCAATTGCTACTGTCCAACCGGCTGACTATAAACTGGGAGCAGTGATTGAACAACGATGGAATCCCGTATTTTTCAGCGCAGTACAGAGTTTCAAACGCGTTTTCCATTTTCAAATCATCCGTGCGATCCGTGTACAAATAGCTAATTAACGTTTATCAAAGATTAGGCCTTAACTGAAAGGAATTTTCGGAAAACATTAACGAGCAGTGTTACGTCGCTTAAAAAATAAACAGCAGTACGCTTTGACTGCGTAACCTAGAGCCTTCAAAGCACATACGGTAGTTTTTGTTAGCAGTACGAGTTAGCCTTAGCAGTACCACTTGCCTCAAGACGTTGCCGAATGTTTCCGCCGTCACGTCGGAAATTTTAATCGGTTTGTCGCCGGTTTCCGGAACACTCCCGCGGAACATCGTCTCAAACACCGCGCTACCTTACAGGGCGTTGTACTGTACCATAGCAGTTCTTTACTTTTTTTAATCATTTTCGTCGTGGAATCGTCGACAATCTTGTTCTGCATTAAAAGCCTTAAAAACGTTAAAGCCTTATGTACCCCAGTACACGGTAGCGCAATTAACTGATAACAGCAAATCATCCACCAGTTTGGCAACTGGAAGTTAACAATGTTTGTAAAACGGTTAATTGCCTTGTTCCTAGGCTTACCGTAATTCTCTGTGTTGGTGGTTACGACGGCAAGAACAGCAAGGCTGCGTGTAATATGTAATCTGCCTATAATACATATATAATTTGGCAGCTGGACGAAATGCCGTATGGCATATCTAGCTGCGGTTTAGCTGTCATAGGCAAAAATTCAGCACTGGTATGCGGCGGATTCACAAGTGATGCCCTCATTTAGTCAGATCGTATGTTGAGGTAACCACTGTTTGTTCTGTATGTACAATACAATACTTAAGTTACTATGCACATTGTTTGTATAAGCGTGTCCGGTAATTTTTGACGAATCAATACAACGAAATACTGTATCTAAATACAAATTTGATTGTAAGTGTTACGCCAAACTCCATACTATGGCGCGCCAAGCCACACTGCTTAAACACGTAACATGCATTTGGCTTGGCTGGCTGGTGGCTTGGTGCTCGCTAAATAATTAAATTAGAATAATAACTGCCTGGCGGATGGTGGCTGGAATATGGTCGGTGATAATGGACTGACTGCGAAATGCATTTAGACAATCCGATAAAAGTATTGAAGTGGTCATTGTTTTAAGCACCAACTTCGCGCTAGCTGTACCTTTACGACAGGAATTACGGACACGCATGTACAGTACTTTGTTTATGCCAAATTAGGTGATATGGTTACAAAACGCAATTTGGCTGGATGTGGATATGTGGAAGGGAAGATTTACGTTCTCGTGGTGCCAGCGAGACTGTGAGAATTGCATCGAGGTTTACGATGAGATTACGGACAATTGGACCATGCACGAATGCCGTCTACCCAAGACCATCCGAGGCCTCGGTTGTGCAGTGATGAGGGCAAAGAAAGGTTTTTTGCTTTTCGTTTTATAGGAGCGAATCTCCCTTTTATGTCTGGTTGATGGTTTGACGAAACATGAGGGACATGTACCCCACCGGCATTTTAGAAGTCGTTACAAGATCTGCAGTTTTGCACTACAAGCAACAATGGTTTTATCTTCGTTCAATGTTGTGCGCTGCGCGGCTGCGGCGCTTAACTGCGCGTATCGTATAGGTTTATCGTACACAGATAGAAAGGAGCGTTGTCATACTACTCATCATATTGAGAGTCTGAGACACAGTTATTGATGTTTGACTTTGTTTTTTACCTAAAGGAATAAGTTCACATTCACACTTGCCATTACGTTACGCTTGAGTCGCTTGACGAAACCTTTTCAAAATTTCATTACGTGATAATAGTGAATTTATATAAACGAATTAACATTTATAGTGAATTTGTATACGTGATTAATAAAAACTGAAACAAAGCAAAGAATATCAAAGAAATCCGTATTGTGAAAGTGTCCAGAATGCGATAAACATCGACGTACAGTTCCTGTGCAAAAGGCGCCTCCATACAATAAGTTGTTAACACCAACTCGGATAGAGCACTTCAAAATATTGAATGGTTCGGTACAGCTTTATTAATCGGCACCGGATCCGAAATCAGAGGTACAGTAACACAGCTTGTATGTATGGTTGCGGTTTTATTAATGGTTGGAGCAGAGTGCCGCACATGCATCTTCCGGTGCGTTTCCGGTGTGAATATTTTCAGCGTTTTTTCATCGTTATTTATGTTTAACATGATTTTAGTACGTATTCGTTTGAAAGTTTGTAATGCACTTATAATCCCTGACAAAGCGGTGCTCGGGTGGCTGACTAAGCGAAATAAAAAAGTACACGAAGGAATTTGCTGATGTGCAGCTACTTGACCAACGTGGTGCGGAAGGGATGAAGCGTTTCGGTATTTGCATGCTCAATTGTAGCGGAAACTATCACACAGTTATAACCACCTCTGCATAGTACGAGTATAACCCACTCTCAGCAGGGCGCAATCCGAGGGAAACCTAGAAACGGCTGAAAAAGGCGCCGATGGGGGAATCGAACCCCGACTACGTCGTTAGATCCGCGTAGGCAGTACCACTGCACCACGGCGCAACACGTTGAAATCATTTGAAAGACTTTATCGCTGAACGTGAGCCGCTTCTCGCTTCACACCCCCTTTGCAGCTTTCGCTACGTCTTCGTAGCGAGACTAAGCGATCCTTTAAGCGGCGGCTGCAGCTTACCGCATCCTATTCATTTTATCTTTTTATTCGTTTTTGCTCTGTTCCTCCCGTTCGAGGTTAGCACACTGGTCTCACAGCCGAAGTGGACGTACCGAACCACGATCTGCTACCATCTAAGCAGGGCGCAGTCCGAGGGAAACCGAGAAACTGCTGAAAAAGGCGCCGATGGGGGAATCGAACCCCGGCTACGCCGTTAGATCCGCGTAGGCAGTACCACTGCACCACGGCGCAACACGTTGAAATCATTTGAAAGACTTTATCGCTGAACGTGAGCCGCTTCTCGCTTCACACCACAAATTTGCACAGAAATTTCTTCGGTTGTGGAAATTACAAGACAAATTTTACAGGCTGGTACTAGGTGTCTAGGTCGCAATTAAAGCACTCTCTGGCCGACAGAATAAATATCTTGGCTGGTGCCATTTTAAGTTCTGATAAAGGGAAACTAATAGTCTCCAATTTGCTCACAGTCAGAGCAGTTGTCACTTGGCAGATGACTGGAAAGAGTCACTGGCGTCGGTGCGGAAGAATCCGTCTGCGCAATAAGCAACTGCAGCGTTAACACGCACGGTTTGCGATAAGAAGTGAATATCTTGTCCACGAATCCACACATGTGTTCACCAGCCAGTAACTGAAACCGGAGGTTCATAGCAATTTCCAAGTTTTCTGTTAGTTTTCGTATCGCTTGCAACTGCGATGTGTGCAATTACGTTGTATACTCGTCTTTCAGTTAACACGATAACCAGACCGCGCAGCTCTTCAATGCTGACGATCCACTAATTCCACTTTACCACTAGTATACTACTATTCTGGTAGTATATCGGTCTGTAATTCCGCTATCCCGTTGCTTCCGAGTTCCCACCTTTCCGCTTCATCATGTCACTCGGAGCACCCCCGCTGGAACTTCAGGCGGCTCTCCTGGAGGATCCGAATTACGTAGACTTGAGCAAGGACTTCTTCGGCAAGTTGGGGGATCTGCAGATGGAGGGCAGATTTTGCGATGTGATGCTCAAAGGCTGCGAAAATGATTGTGATGGGATTCCCTGTCATTCGTCGTGCGCTCTTCAGCGCGATTAAGCAGAAAATTTCAGCTTTTTAATCGGTTTATTAATCGGTTAATCACAGCAAGTGCGCAAAAGCGATTAAAAAACCAAGCGATATGAAAATTTTCACGTGGCCAAATGCGCGTCACGTACTACTTCGATCAACTCTCTTAGCTTCTGCTACTTACTAAATTACTAAATTGCCGTAAAAAATTATCAAAGTGAACGCCGTAATTTCGTAAATAGAAAGGTTCTTGCATTTAATACCGTTAACAAACTTGATTTTGTAGACCCTAGTATAATTATGAAGCTTATTTGATAAACATCAGTCGTGTTTCTCACTGCTGCACTTGAAATCATTACGGCAAGACCTTTGCGGGACAGCTGGGAGATCGTGAGAGCTCTCAGTCAGAATCCAACCGAGGCTGAAGTGCGGAAATATCAGCAGGCAGCAGCATTATAAATCTGACCAGAGGATTAGCTTCGACGTGTTCCTCCCGATTTTACATGAGTTCTCCCGTTCGAAGGATCCCTACAGCTACGACTCGTTCATTGAAGGTATATCATACCCATGACAGCGTGCGCAAATTGTTTGAGTTTCTAACTAATTGAACGACCATTTATGACCTTCCTAGCTGTAATCAACATAGTGCATGCGCCATTGCACAAGTTAGCGTATCGCCAATTTTTATTAATCTGCAAGTGAGCTCGTTGGTGTGGCACCTGTGGATTCTGGCTGCTTGCTTCGGTAATTTTTTTCTCGGTCTGTGTTTGCTAGGTTCGCGAATGTCTTAAATTCATCTTAATTGTCAGTTGTTTTCATCTATGTTGGTTTGAAATGTACATCGACCGTGTAGGTTGGAAATTAGTATCTGCAAGTAAGCAGGATGCAGGTGAGACGTAATGCGCAGCATCACTATTTTTCAACAAATTTTTACGATGAGGTCTAATACTGTACGAGTACTCTAGTCTTGTCTAAACTCTTAAAGCATTTACGGTGAATAAAATAACACAAAATATTTATGTTGTGCCAACAGACTGCTGATACAAGATTCAAGATACTTCTACAGATAATCATGATTAGTTTTATTAAGTTATTGTGATTTGTTGTTACAGGTCTGCGTCATTTTGATACGGAAGGGAATGGTATGATCAAGACATCAGAATTGCACCACTTGCTGACTACGCTTGGAGATAAGTTAAGCGAACGCAACAGGGGCAACAGGATGGCGGAAACTGACAGCGAAATCGAAGGTGCGTGCATTGCCTGATTCTTAAAACAGTATTTGAACAGAAAATGCAATGAGCAGTCAGTTCATGAATTTATGTTGCTGACTATTGAGCAGTCAAGACTAATTGGCACATTGATTACATTATTCATTTTTTTAATAGTTATTGATGATAACGACAGTGTGGAAGATTTTCTTGTCGTGGGATTCAAGAAAGCCACGCAACGCGAACTGGCCAGTCCAGAACTGGGCGATCCAGCGGAAAACCACGCGCCTGAAGCACTGCAAACCGATTCAATTCCCCGTGAAGGTAGCCACGGTATTAAATGATGCACCGCTTTTTGCTTACATACTAAAAATCAATCTGATTTGATTTGTAGAGGGCCGCGGCGAACCTGGGGATATCGCAGAGGTTTCAGTCGGCGAAAAATGGCAAAACCGTCTAAGCCTGTATAACAAGCGGCGCGCATTCAGCGAAACGGATCTCCGTATTAGAGCTGGTATGTGCTCGTTATTTCTTTAAAAGATTTACTGTACTGTAAATCAAGAAAATTTCGTACGGTTGCAGGAACTGGACGCGGCATCTTTCGCGCCACGCTGGTCAGTCCAGAACAGGTCGATCCTGAGGTAGTTGCACTACATCAGCCAGCTGAACAGGAAGTGAAGGTGAAAGATGTCCAACCCGATGTGCCGTTTTGTTTCCGTTGCAAGCAGATTGGGCACTGGACAAAATTCTGTGAGAAAAAGCGGCTTCCAAGCCCTCGAAGCCGGGACCGAGGACGGCGGAATAAAATGTTTTGGGCTAGCGAGCGACAGCAGAAAGAGCGACTGAAACAGGATCGTGCTCTTTTCGATGAAAAGGTGCGATTAACGCGACAATCTGAAGACCTGGTACGATCCCAGATGCGCCTTCAGGAAGATAGTTTGGAGATGGATGCTGCGCAGAGGGCTCACCTTGCTGCCATGCGTCTCCTCGAAGACAAGCAGCTACGTTCCAGGCGTGATCAGGAAGATCTTCGCGTGCGCGAAGACCGCATTGCAGAGGACAGAGAGATCTCAGATACTTTTCTAGAGCGACATGAAACTTATATGGGGATTAAACGCGATTAATTCAGATGTTGTGGTATACATTGTTGTTTTATTTTTGTGCATCGCTAATGTCGGATAAATGATCTTTCGTTTAATGTACATAACACAATTTTTGTTTTGAATTCTTTTGAACTGCCACCCCGGCCGGCCGGATAAATCAGTACTATTATTACAAGCGGTTGCAAGTAAATGGCAAATAAAATTCTTTGGTTTCGGATTAGGTTTGACGTGATGCTGCGAATGTTTATCAAATTCTCGATCGTTATTCTGGATCATCCAGTAACGGGTTAGTCCCGAATATCCTACTGTGCATTTCTGAGTTAACTCAGTTTATAACTTTACGGTGAAAATGTTTATCCGCCCATATCGCAAGAAGCAGCGGAAGCTGGTGTTTCAGCAGATGTATAACACCTTGATGTTGTCCGCGTTGTTTGTTGCAAGAAATCTGATGCTGGATTCGGAAAAATTTTACTCACGACATGAAGTTGATTTGGCGAATATGGAGCAAGAGAAGTTTGAGTTTCATTTTCGCATAAAGTGTTATGGAGACTTTATGCGGCTCCTTGAAGCGCTTCAGTTACCGACTTACATAACCTGTTCAAACCGCACAAGAGTGTCAGCAAAGCTTGGTTTGGCCGTGGTTTTGCGCCGCTTGGCATATCCAAATAGATGGGGAGATGTCATGGAGCTACTCGGTCGCGAGAGGTCACAGTTATCCCGCATATATAACACCATGCTTGATCTTTTATATGAAAAACATGGACATTTGCTGGAATCATTAGACCAGAACTGGTTGGACCAGAATCGTGTCAGAAGTTACGCAGCGGCAGTGCACAGGGCTTCTAATGGCAGATATGGCAATAAATATAGAGGATTGATTTTTTATAAAGTTCGGGACACCATGCCATAAATCTTAAATTAATTTTTCGGAATTTAGATACCTGCTGGGCTTTTCTCGACGGCACCGGAAGGGCTATCTGTCAACCGGGTGTGTTCTCCAAAGAATTTTATAGTGGCCATGAAGCTCAACATGTCACAAAATTTCAGTCTCTTGTAACCCCGGACGGCATGATTGCAAATATGTATGGACCCGTGATGGGCCGTCGGCATGACAGCGCTATGCTAGCCGAAAGCAAACTGGTGCATCGGCTGCGAGCAAAATATCTCCAATGGGACACTCCTGATTTTTGTATTTATGCCGACAAAGCGTACAAGCTAACCAACGAAATCCAAACGCCCTTTCGAGGAATTGACCTAACGCCGGAAGAGATTGATTTCAATTACTGGATGTCTATATGCCGAGGCGCTGTGGAATTCGGATTTCTAAAGATAACTCAGTATTTCGCTTTCGGTAATTACTGGCAAAACCAGAAAATATTACTGCAGCAAACTAGCAAAGCTTATCTGGTTTCTGCTCTATTCTCAAACTTTCATACTTGCTTATATCGCTATGATTTGGTTCAGAACCGATTTGGAATCGGACCACCGACACTGGAAGAATATCTTATTTATTAGGCGCAGTGTACCAGAGTGTTATTAAACTGGGTATCCAGATCCCGGGTCAGTCCCGTATTACAATGTATGACCGCGATTAAAAGCTGTTTTCATAAGTTCCATCATCGAATCATGCTTGTATTTTTCCAACTCACGATCCTTTTCTCGCTGTTCCTTATCATGATCCAATTTCGCCTGCTGCGCTTTCCGCTCTTTATCCATTTCTTTTTTCTCTTCATCCCAGATTTTCTCCTGTACCGCGGCTGTTTCTTTGGCTGATTTAACAATAAATTCCAGAAGTAATGCCGGATCTTTTCTGTTTACCTTTTCCGCTGGCGGTTTCAATCGGCGAGTTTTTTTCTCTCTCCCTTTCCCATTACTGGACGATCCAGAACTGGACCGACCAGTAGAATTCAAAGAGTCATCTTCATTTGCAGTTGTATCCAATGTAGAAACTGTAAAGCAGACCATATTAATCTAGTGATAATTGCTCATGCACCATAATACCAAACGACTGCATCGTTTCTACAAGGCTGTTCCGGGCGCTAATGGCATACTTCCATGAAGGATCTGTTAAATAAAAAAATGCTGGGTCGCACGAAATGCAGTATCTTAATATCCCTTTGTTCCTGTTTAATTACCCGTAAGTTGCAAATTTGCCGCGCGCCGTGCTGTTCCACCGATTGTGGTCGCTTCGATGTCAGCCAGTTCGACGGCTTGCATAGCTGCTTCAGATCCCTCTGGAGGCGCATCGTCAGCATCTGAATCGCAGTCCAGCTGATTGATGGCTTTTACTTTGTTACCCGTCCGCATACCAAGCCTGCATGCTTTGATCCGCTTAGCACTGGCTTGGTCTTTCTCGGACATCTCTTTAGGACCATTCTGCTTGAGTTGATACAGTTCAGCGAGCAATTCATCAACTTCAGTTTGCATCGGTGGCACATCTCCCGTTGGCTTTTCAATGTACTTCTTCTGATAGTTTTTCGACATGGTAGACAGTTGTGCCGCGAATTTTCCCCCGAGATGTTTCGTCCGGTGCTAGCAGTTTGTCTTTGATCAGATCACGATAAATGTTCTGCCAGGCATCGCAGTATCCTCTACTGCCAAGTCTAAAGTCGTATGGATTATGAACGAGCACAACCTGAATTCGTTTACACCATAGGTGTTGAGTTTCTTTCTTTCTCTTCTCCGCTTCCTCCTTCTGAAAACGTTTCCGCTTCTGTCGCGCCGTTTCTTCCTTTGCTGGGCGTTTCTTTTTTTTCCAGGACCGTCCTGATCTGGTCCATCCAGATTGAGCACCTCCGTCTCTTTACGCACAGTGTTACCAATGGTTTCGCTGTCATCCTCCTTGTCTGACAAACTAATCGCCTCTACCTCCGCACCAGCAGCTGCGGCCTCAAAATCCACTAAAGGTTCAACAGTTAGGCCAGTGCTAATTGAAGAGACAGGAGTACAATTCGCATCAGCAGGTCCGCATGGCCAGTAGCTCAAAGTTACGCCAGATGCGAGCAGGATTTGCAGCTCTGCTTCATTTACCACTTGTATTTGTGGTAATGCTGAAGTGGGTGCAGACGTCATTCTCCCGAATAAGCAATGTAGACAGTTATGTTATAATAAAGAAAATTTTGCTACTTTGGATAACCTTTTTAAAAAATAAAAAAGATTACAAAAGTGAAAAGTTCTTGGTTATTGTACTATTATTATTCCCTATTTTGTTTCGCTTGTCTTTCTGAGTGCACACAAGAAAAATTCGGCGGTATGGAACGGAAAAACTGTCCCGGTTAAGGATTTCTAGTTCAGCTGGTTAAAGTCCTACAGGCTAGTGAAATAGCACCAGAACAGTACCCTACCGATTAAGATTTTTTCCGATTAAGAAGATTTCGGAAATTTCTTAATCGCTTTTGCTTAATCGGTACCGATTAAGATTTTGTCCAACCGGAAGTGTTTCGGATTGTCCAATAGACGCATTCGGGAGGTGCGGTCGCTTGAGTCAGGATGAAAAAGCATTAATCGGATCGGTTTCTTAATCGGTTTTGGAGCTTAGCGCACACTGCCCTAAAAGCCTTTGCCGTTTGGAAAACGAGTTACCATTAACACATTGCCGTTCACGAACATTTTGCGGTAATAGGTTTTTTTCACATTTCCTGTGTACGTTATGCGTATAGTCCGTTTGCGAAAGTTTAACAGCTCTCGGCAATTGATTTCCTGTATAAACCGCAAAACCAACATCAGGAGAACGGCAAAGGCTTTTAGAGACGGCTTTTCCACCGACAAAGGCACAGGTAACGCTGACAACGGCAAACTGAAACGGCAAAGACGACGTTGGCCGACCCCGATCTAGTGCCTCAACTGCCTTTACAACCAGTGCTACAGCTGACGCTTTTCCAGGTTATCACTCCACTATCCGTCACCCAAAAATTCCCAAACAACTACAGGAACATACAGTGATGTTGGTTTTCCACACATCATGTACATGCACACGCTGTACGGGATCATTGTGGATATATAGATATAGGGTTGTTAAATGTTAACGGTGCAATTCGGTGCGATGCGGTGCAGCCGCGGTGCGATTTTTTACTCAAATCGCACCAATTACATCGGTCCTTTCGAAAAATTTCACCGCGCCGTTCTTAAATTGCACCGCCGGCGGAGTGAAATTGTAAAAATCGCACCGGTGCACCTCCATGTTCACCAATTGCGGTATACCATGATGAAAATGCTAAAAATGTGAAGTAAAACAATTAAATTCCGGCTTAGTTAACGATAATCGACTACCAAAATGACGAGTTTTTCACTCATCCCATATTATCCCAAGCGGTAAAATAGCGTACAACAGCTACAACGTACAGAAAATCCTGCTCAGAAAACAGTTTTTCCACGAATTTTCGTTGATTTTAATACTTATTTTTGACAGCGGTGCACCGCCAATTGCACCGATTCCTGACAGTGTGATTTTTTTCTCACACCGGTGGAACTCGGAGCAATTTTTCTCCAAAGTCGCACCGATCGGCTTGAATATATTTTCCCGAAATTTCATCGCGATTTTCTCGAATAATGATACTACAGTAGTTATCAAATCCGATCGGCTCCCTAACACTTCGCCTGCCAGACACTGCGGTCGCCCGTTCAGTTCGGCCTAAGAAACCTAAGAATAACCTAAGAAAACTGAAGAAACCTAAGAAAAAAACATAAAAACTATCAGGCAGCCGAATTGCCGACGTGCGGCCGAAATGGCAGGATACCATGATTACCATCCGATCGGCCCCGACCAACGTACAGTAACCTGTGTCATTCTAATACATAAATCAGCCATCTTCCAACCAGCACGGCTTTTCGTACTTCCATATGCATCATCCGCAGTGAACAATAATGGTCATAACAGGAAAGTTTCAGGAAATTTAGCCCGCTTTTCACTGGAATAACTTGATACCTGCTCATGCATATGCACAATTGGCATATTCTAGGTCAGTGCGCCCGGCACACCGCATTCTCACATTCGAGTCTATCTATCTAGGAGATGCACCGCGTTCCGCGGTCGCCTCAGGTACGCTGACCCTTCAAATCCACCTACTGGGTCACTCAACACTTTTCAAAAAGCTTTAGGGTAGCGAAAGAACATTCGTTGGCATAATTGAGTCGGTCCAATTATAGCCATTAACCACAGGAAAAAAAGGACCACCACCCCAACCCTTTATATTCCGCCTGGCCTCTGAATACCATATTGCATGATCACAACTGTGACACTGCTGGATTGGCAATACAAAGTTGTACTAGAAAGTAGACAAGTGCAATCAAAAACAAAATACAGAACGGGAATATTTTATGCAACTGCCCGAACTTGCCGCGGCACACCTGTGGCAGCCTGTAATCATGCTTTTCTACGATTTGTATGAACATTATCTTTGATTTTCACCCCTTAGTTTTGCGCGAAAGCAGCTTAATTTCTTCTAAATGCAACGCTTGTCAGAATTTTTCCCAATTTATTTTGAAAAACATTTCGATGAGAACAACTAGATTTTTAAACTTTATATGATTCTCTAAACACAAAAAAGCCACCAAAATCGGGAAGCGGGCGCTAATTTTATTAAGCGGGAACGGCCGCCGATCACTTTCTGATTATCCGAATATGCACTTTGTAGTAGAAAAAAATCTTTACAAAACTGCATTTATTTTCTTAGTAAGGGAAACAGCGGGGAAAACGAAAAGAACACAGATATTTTCTGCATCGTCTATTACAAAATCACTCCCTATTACTTTCCTCAGACACCTTGAAAGACACTTACAAATTAGCCTAAAATCTTCGAAATCTATGCGAGCACATGTAATTTTTGTACTTTTCATTTTCCTTCTGGCTTTTTCTATTGTCCGAATGTCGAACGCACCGCGGCGAATTTACCATAGATTTTATGGGAGTGTGCAGTTGCACTACTTCTAGTAATGTACTCGTCAATGACTCCAACATTTTCTTTAACTGCTTCAGAACTGCGACTTGGCGCAAAGCTGACGATGCTTTTCAGCCAGAAAATGCGAGAAATTCAATCAAAATAAGATGTCTTGAATGTCTGCGCATACTTCACGATGTCTGTCGTAGTCATTCACACTTCCACATACAGTATATCAAGGTACTAGCGGCAGTGCCGCGGTGACGTAGCATCGGTCAGTCAGGTCAAAAATTGCAATTAAAAAAATTATTTACAACAAAAGTTGTTAGCACTACCATCCAACGCCAACGTTCATGAATAACGCGCTTAAAACCAAGAGCCATTTAATCTTGCCGGCCGCACTACAGCCACTACTGAAGTACAATCGATATCCATCGCGAAATGTAGCTTTTACCGATTGTAGCATGTTGTTTTTTTGGTAATGTGGAATAGGACGTTATAAACAAATTTTTCAGCAATAAGAAATGGATTTTTTGAAATAATGCATGTTTTGGGAATATTAGGAGAAATAATCACAACTAAATGGTGCTTACTTCCGAACTTGACATCTAATTTTCCTTCCTGTGGATGGCTTCCTGTTTTTGAAATTATTGTGAAGAATTAACAGAGGCTGCTAAACTACAGATAATAATAGTCATCATACTGAGAGCAGTATTATGCAGATTCAAATTAAACTACAACGTACTGTATCGTACAAGTCCATTGTGTACCTGTTCGATATCGTGATGGGCCACGACAGAGCTCTGTTCAACAAACGTCCTGAGCATACATTGCCAATACATCCAAATTAAATACATGGGAAATGTTTCCAGAAACTACAAGTTTCTGCAGAATTTCGGCCCATTCATACTGAGAAGGCATATGTATGCCCGGCCAGATGTAGATTTCGGGTGAATTCATCCTCCACAGACAAATTTGTGTATTTCGCCAAATACACAAAGTATGAAACTACCTATAAGCATAGGCTGCATGAGCGGCGTGCGGCCGGGGCTGTGGGGCTGTGGGCACGGGGATGATGGCCCGTTCGTCTGACCCGCCGCAGTTATGCTATTAACGGTACAGCGACTGACCTGTATCCACGCTGGGCCCCTTGTGGGCGCAGCTGTCGCTGCCCGGGATGAGGCTGATCCAGCCGAGAGCCAGCACGGCCGCCACCACGAGGCGCTCGCCCATGGGCTTCATCATCCCGCGATGTACAGGGATAAGGACAGGTATTAACCCATAAGGCCATATGGGTTTACACAGGCCGGAAATAACGTCCGCGGACTAAATTCACATTCACTGGTAGAAGGAACACTCACAAAGCACGCGTTAAGATAGGATGGAATTTCCTCCAACGAAACGCTGCAGAATGAATAATTATCGTCAAGTAGATCGATCGGCGTTGAGCGGTTGAGGTCAGTACGATTGCCGAGTGCAGACTGAAATGCTGGAATGCTGTCGGCGGCGCAGCTGCGCCCTTATATGTAAGTATATGGCGCCAGACAGAAACGCACCTTATATCACCGTCAGGAATGCGCGTTCTTTGTCGCTGTGACAAACAAGCCTTTGGCGAGGCGGTTTGTTTGTCGGGTGTGCTCTTTCCGAGGATGGATCGTGCAGGCCGTGTTCAGTTATTCCAGCACCACAGCAGCTCACAACCCACAACGGACACGGGCACAGTCTGGAGCAAATATATCCCTATACGCGGACTGACTTCTTCCTCTTTTTCATAGGCATAGGGTCAGGTACTGCAACCGTGTGCTGACCCTTTGAAAAACAATAATTTTAAATCTCCCTGCATTCGTACAAACATTGTGTACCGTCGTAGTGTA